CGCCCGACAGCAACGCCAGCTTTCGTTCATCTCCTAGTACACCACGGACATACGACACATCGCTGGCAAGGCTAACGTGGTCGCGGACTGCCTCTCCAGAGCGGTCCATCGGAGCTGTGCAGCTGGGCCTTGATTACCTCCGCATGGGCGCTGACCAGGCCTCTGACCACGGGGTCCAGACCCTCAAGGCCTCGGTCACGGGATTACGCCTGGAGGAGGTCACGGTCGGTGACTCTGGCACAAAGCTGTGGTGTGACGTCTCCACGGGCCAGCCTCGACCGCTGGTCCCTGCGGACTGGCGTCGACCCGTTTTTGAGGCAGTTCACAATCTTTCCCACCCCGGTAGGAAGCCGTCCGTGAAGTTGTTGTCACAGAAGTTCGTGTGGCAGGGGCTTAAGAAGGACGTGAGGTCCTGGGTCGACTCGTGCGTGGCCTGTCAACGGGCCAAAGCCCACCGCCATACTAGGGCCCCTTTTGAACTTTTTGCGGTTCCTGAGAGGAGGTTTGACCATGTCAATGTCGACCTCGTAGGTCCGCTTCCCCCCTCTCACGGTTTCACTTACCTGTTTACGATGGTGGACAGGACGACCCGCTGGCCCGAGGCCGTTCCCCTCGCCTCGACATCAGCTTCCGACGTCGCCCGCGCTTTCATCGGCACGTGGGTGGCGCGATTCGGGACCCCGTCTGACCTCTCCTCTGACCGCGGTTCTCAGTTCACCTCGGAGCTGTGGAACGCTGTTCCTGTGGGTTTGGGGGGTCAAGCTGCACCGCACCACTGCATATCACCCCCAGGCTAACGGATTGTGTGAGCGGTTTCACCGGTCCATGAAGGCGTCACTGCGTGCCGGCTTGATAGACGGCAAACTGGGTGGATAAGCTCCCGTGGGTTATGCTCGGCCTCAGGTGTGCCCCCAAAGAAGACCTGCAGTCCTCGTCGGCGGAGCTCGTCTATGGTCAGACGCTACGGGTCCCTGGGGAATTCATTCCCACCGCCACTGTGCCCTGGTCTGCAGCCGGGCAGCGCTCCTCCCTGCTGGAGACCGCCGGGACATTCACGCCCGTCCCCACGTCGCAGCACAGCAACCCAGCATTCCGGGTGTCCCCCGGATTACGGTCGGCCGATTTCGTTTTTATTCGCCACGACGCCCACCGCGGTCCCCTGCGGCCCCCTGCGGCCCCCTTACGACGGTCCGTTCAGGGTCATACGTCACGGGGACAAGAGCCTGGTGGTGGACGTTGGTGGCAGGCCTGAGACTGTGTCCGTTGATCGGATTAAGCCTGCTCACGTGGACATTTCCAGGCCGTTGGAGTTGGCTCTGCCCCCACGTCGGGGCCGCCCTCCCATGGCCCGCCCCCTGTGGGGATGCCCTCGTTGGCGCCCCTGCCCTCGCCTGCGGCCCCGCCCTCCTCGGCCCCTGTGGTCCGTACGCGCCGGGGTCGGGTGGTACTTCCTCCCAGGCACGAGGATTTTGACTATGGGTGAATACTGGGGGGGCTTGTGTGGTGATTGACATTATTCACCCACGGATCTATGGGTTGGGGTATTGTTCCGCACGGACATTTGAGTGAGCCGGACTTCCTGTTTCCGCCGGTCTTCGCTTCCCGGGCATGAAGTTGTTTACATGTGTGTTCCGATGCTAAATAAAAGTAGAGCTTGTAACTTTGATACCCCGCCTCCGACTCCCGTCTCTCGGCACCACAACAGTTTATATTGTGTATCACCTTTAGCTTAAAAATACATAGATGTGTTTTTTTTGATCTATAAAATAAATAGACAGACACTTTATCAATCCCAAATTGGGAAATTATTTAACAGCAGCAGTGTGTTCAGGTATTAAAATATGTAAAGTATGAACTACACATCACAAGTATAATGCACTGCAATCTATAAAATAAGTCCGATATGTTCATGAAAACCCCCCAGGAGACACCAACGTGGCCGAGTGGACTCCGGAGTTTGCTGCATGAGTTGCACTGTATGATCTGTGGTGTAGTGGGCTGCCACTCAAAAGCTGAGTAGCCAATGGGGACACACCCCTGAAAGTCCCGCCCACCTGGGATGTTTGTGTCAAAATCTCAAACAAAAATAGAGGGAGCGCAAACGAGAGAGCTGCAGCGAGAGCAAAAGTCTGATCATTGAGAAAGAAGAAACAAGAACTGCAAACAAAAACCTATGTTAAAACAAAGAAAAAATACTTATAGTTTACATGATTACACAAATGATTTGTTTGCAACTTATAGTTTTATTTTTGAAATTACTTTATTTTGCTTGATTTAGTTTTTTTTTCTTTTAAACTCATAGTTTTGCTTTATTCTGAGAAAGTGTTGCTTTATCTTTATGATACAAAACTAATCCCATAGTTATTTAGTTTGCTTGTGTGTGTATTTCATTTTCTTTATTTAGAACCAACCCAAATGTAACAAGATAGGAAAAACAATAAGTTTACTTGTATTCTTTGCTCTTCACAGATGGATTAAATTACTAATCTTTTTTTTATGATGAATTTATTTTTGGTGAATAAAAATGTCTACACTTTTCTGATGCCTAAGGGAAACAAGTTGAGGCTTTTTTTGTAGGCTTCGTTCTTAATTTTTATAAATGTATTCATACAAAATGAAAATAAAGGACAGTAATACTTGTTCAGTGTTGGAATACAATACTGCATTGATTCGAAGTCACAAAAATAAACTGCATAAAATGTATAACATTATTCTCATAAAATAGGAAAAAAATAAAAAGGGGTGTGTCCTACTTGTCCAGTGTAAAAGTACCATGCAGCATTGACTTATATTCATAGGGTTAAATGCATATAAGCTATCGGAAAAAGGAGCAAGTTGTGAGCTATGAGAGCTATTTAATTTTTTTTGTTGGGAATTTTCTAAAAAAGTCCTGAATTTTCATAACAATATTCATATAAAATACTCAAATCAAATACAAAATAAGTGTGCCCTTGATGTCCAGTGTATTACTAAAATGCTCAAATGATATTTAGCAGAATCATAACTGCTACACTTCTATTAGGGTCCTTCAACCCTGACGTTGTCTGTGCTCCTGATTCAAACAAAAGGAACAATTAGCTGGAACCTAATAACTTTTATATTAATAATAATGTTTTTTTTTGGGGGGCCCCAATGGCATTGACCGGTTCACGCAGTCTTCAAAGTAACCAAGTAACCTATGCATTTGTAATTTGTCTGTCCAATGACCTTGCTCCCTTTCATGTCATGTGATACTTTGCATGACGAGCAAACCGTTTAATCAAACTGTACTGTACTGTGTAGCTAGCAGCAGCAAGTTCGGCAGCATTATAAAAATGTAATAGCTTGCATTTATAATGTACAGCAAACCAAAGCACAAGAACGGCGCTCAAAAGAGAAAGGACAAGAGAGAGTGTATGTCCGTGCGTGTGTGAGCGCATCAGGTTTGGGGCGATGGGGGGGAGGGGGGGGCCAAAATGGGGGGCCCAAAAAAATATTTGCACCGGGGCCAATCACAACTTTGTTACGCCACTGAGCAGAATCCATCGATCGAAAAATGAATTATGGCCAGTTTAAGTACTTATATGGAATTGTCAATCAACCTTTTTTTACAATTATGAGCCTCACCTTTGTTGTTATAATCATTTTAAACCCAGATCCCCCCCATGGATTGCATTATATGTACAGCAACTGAAGGTACACCTAATAAATGGGATATGTGCCAGATCTGACAGCGTGCAGTATAGATGTGTCTATATTTCCCTGTCTTTCCTTGGAGCGTCTACACTGGTCTGGACCTTTGCTGCAGCGGTGTCATCAGTCATGTAAATTGGCCGAGAGACAAGCACTTTATAACACTTAGAGGAGGGAGGCGTTGGCCGGACAGGGCCTGGGCGGCTGAGTAATACCCCTGGACTCCTGGCTCTGTGACTTCAGGACTTACTCCTCGATTACAAAGGCTTGTTCTCCATCTTTGTACTCTTTAACCATGGACATTTATTAAAAACAAGATTGCTGACAGTCCCATATAAGTATGATTTATGGGAGCGAGATAAAGTTTACAATTTCACGCTCACAGAAAATGTCAATTGGCTGTTGTGATAAATGGAGGAAGAGTAATCTGGGCATTGCTTTTGCATACATGCATAGCTATGTTATATATTTCAAATGGCATATTATGGCTAAAATAGAGTAGAACTACCACAATGAAAAACATAAGATACACAACAATTACGAGGGTTATTCACTCAGAGGGACAGAGAGTAGGGAGTGGGAACAGAGTGACATTAAGAGACAGTTTCTGTTCCATTACTGGCTCTGCAGCCGTGACAAATCCTGTATCTAATACCCTCACAGCATTCATCAATTTCCAATTAGAAATCCAGACTTTAAAAAAAAAAAAAATGGGAAAGTCACCTAAAGGTCACCGGTGCTGATGAATGTGGCCGTAGAAAGGAACATAAGGTCAGACAATATGTAAGGACAGTGAGATTTCTGTGCTAACGCTAAAGCACTGCCTGGCATTGCTGTTCAGTCATCAGACCTTAATGAGGTGAGCACTGAGAAGGAGGAAGAAAAGTAGAGAACTTTATTATATACAGCAGGCGGAATTGGCTCCCTGGGAGAATCATTGATGAAAAAAGAGCCCTTCAAGTAAAGTAATGAAGGTAGAAACTGGATCATATTATGGGGAAAGAAGGTGATGTAGGAAGCGTGTTGGAGCGAGACAGCGCAGCCATGCTTTCTTTTATCTAGCCCAGACTAACTAAGACGTCAGAGCAAAAATTGGGAAATATGTCTCTGCGTGAGCCTTGAAATGCAAAGAAGGAATGTCTTTCCCTAAGACAGAATTCTGTGAATACAAAATTAATGCAATTGCAAAACGAGTCACCTGCTCTCCACCAAAAACTAGGTTAACTCTCTTCAGGTTTGCGATTTCCACAAACTTTGATTCTTTCAAGCTATACAGAGATAACGATTATATAATTTTTGCTGTTCATGTACTGTACGGCATGCCTCACCTGAACAAAGGGCACCCCGGAGCGCTCGATGGCCACCACCCCCACGGTCTGGCTGAGCTCCAGGTCCAGGATGAGGATCTCTCTGGGGTAGAGCAGCAGCATGTGGTTCCTCTTGGACGGCAGGTAGGACAGCTGAAGACAGTCGTTCAACGTCACCGCCTCCGCACTGCAGCGCCACAGGAAGAGGAGGACCGGGGGATGCACACAAAGTAGAAACATCTAATTAATTTCAGTGTCAGATCATCTGAACTGGGAAAAATGTTCTCGAAAAAAAGGGTTAATGATGTATTAATGTATTTCCTACACGTTGGCCATTCTTGTTTTAGACACAGCAAACAAGACATGTTTGAAGAGACCAAACTTTTTTTATTAATAAGTAGGAAAATAAAGTTTGTCTTATTCAAGACTGAGCTCCTCTTCCTTCCGGGAAAAGATTGTCCCACTCTTGACCTAACAATCAACATCGGCACCTCAGTTGTTTCCCCGACTCAGACTGCAAGGAATCTGGGTGTGACCCTAGATAACAACCTGTCCTTCACTGCAAACATCGCTGCTACAAACCCGTTGCTGCAGATACAACGCTTTACAACATCAGGAAGATACGTCCCCAGCTGACTCAGAAAGCGACTCAGGTTCTGGTCCAGGCTCTCGTCATCTCACGCCTAGACTACTGCAACTCCCTCCTGGCTGGTCTACCTGCATGTGCCATCCGACCTCTGCAGCTCATCCAGAATGCAGCGGCTCGTCTGGTCTTCAACCTTCCTAAATTCTCCCACACCACTCCGCTCCTCCGCTCCCTTCACTGGCTTCCGGTAACTGCTAGAATCCACTTCAAGACACTGGTACTTGCTTACCATGCTGCGAATGGATCTGGCCCTTCCTACATCCAGGACATGGTTAAACCGTACACCCCAGCACGTGCACTACGCTCTGCATCAGCCAAACGACTCGCTGCACCCTCGCTGCGAGGGGGACCCAAGTTCCCATCAGCAAAAACACGTGGGTTTGCTATCCTGGCTCCAAGATGGTGGAATGAGCTCCCCATTGACATCAGGACAGCAGATAGCTTGCACATCTTCCGGCGCAGACTGAAAACTCATCTCTTTCGACTCCACTTCGAGCGATAGATTTATTAACAAAGCACTTATATACTAATAAAGGACTGGCTTACCTAAAGCCAGTTGAGTAGCACTTGAAATGTTTGGCTCTATGAAACCTGATGTACTTATATGATTCTGTTTTCTTCAAGGTTGTGTCTTCCTGGTCGAATGTACTTATTGTAAGTTGCTTTGGATAAAAGCGTCAGCTAAATGCAAATGTAATGTAATGTAATGTAAATTCAGCAGACACATCGCCAAAAAAATATAATAAGCCTCTGCTGCAACAGCACACTTATATGCAAACACACCAATGTGATGATGGATTTAAAACAAGCTTTAAAGAGGAAATATTATGCTCATTTTAAGGTTCCATATTGTATTTTGTGCCTCTACTGTGACATGTTTCCATGCTTTAATGTTCAAAAAGGACTTTATTTTCCTCATACTGCCTGTGCTGCAGCACCTCTTTTCACCCTCTGTCTGAAACCAGAGCCCAGTCTGCTCTGATTGGTCAGCTGGCCGGCTCTGTTGTTATTGGTCAACTGCTTAGCAATGCCCGCACCTTAGCCTATCGTATACAATGTGTTGGAGAGCCAGCCAATAGAAGAGCAAGCGTTACATAGTGATGTCACCAAGTTACAGAAGTAAACAAAGGACTAAAATCGAGGCGTTTCACGCAGGGGGAACTGCAAAAACTCCCTCTGGAGGGAACTTGGACTTTGTCAACTGAACTTTGGTATTTCAGCCTTTACTGAACATTCAACCACACAAAAACATATATAACACACTACAGGAGGACCTCTTTAATAAAAACAACTGTCTCTTTCCTAACATCAAATTGATATTTATTTATGTCTTCCCATACAGAAGGATGGATGTATTAGTTATTGCGTTTGTGGTCTTTGTGAGTTACAGGCAAATGAGGGAGAACTTAAAAGTGAATTTGGTATAATGATACAGCATTATACCAAATTTAAAAACTGATGAATTTATTTGCAGCATCACAAAAAAAGCCATTGAATTATTTAACGTGCTTTAAAAATGTATGTTTCCTGTAAGTCCTTTCATCTGTGTTTAAGTCATTACAAATGCTATATCCATGGCAGCAGCAAGGTCTGATCTCTCCATTCGACAACAAAGGCGTCACAAATACTTCAATTAAATCGAAAGGGAACAGAGGGCAGGTTTGGCAGAATTTATGAGCAGGCCATGGTCGTTACTCATTCCTACAGCTTCATTCCTTTAGGTCACCATGAGATGAAATAAAAGAGACAAACTTTATAACACAAAGGAGATCATTATCATCCGGGGAAAGGCGCAACAGATAAAATGGACTCAATTTGGTAACCTTTAGGAGTTGCTGAGCTAAATCACACTGTTACTGAAGTCAGGCGAGGCAGAGATTGGGACTGAAACGACCAAAGGCAGAAAACATCAGAAAGAAAGAATAAAAGAGGCTTCTGTGTATTAGATGGAATAAAATAAAAAGACAGAGCTTCAGAGAGAAAGAGGAAAAGCAGAAAAAGAGAAGAGAAAATCTAACCAAACCCTCGCAAAAAATTCAACTGTATTTCCAAAACACACTCCTCTTTGCTGTGAATAACCCATGAAGGTTGCAGCAGTCCAGGGATCATACATAGCAGTGTTTCCCCTACCATTGTCTTGGAGGGGCGCTGCGCCCCGCCAACGGAGCCCTGCACCCCCCCTGAAATTCAAGGTGTTAAAAAAAAAAAAAAATTATAATTGTTTTATTTTTATTTATATATATAGCACCAAATTGCAACTAATCCATATCTACTGTCACTTTTAATATTGAACATGTGCTCTTTCATTAAATAAACTAAACGCTTTCATTTTAAGTTGTGAGTTTAGTGTTTTTGACCCTAAGAAAAAATATCCCAAACCCCCCCCAAAGCAGTAAACCTAGGGGAAACACTGCATAGTGCGCACACACAAAGCACATGAGGCAACCTCAGAGGACCGCTTTTACTGTCTTTCAACAGAAGTTGTATTGTTTATTCATGATAAATAAACATAAATTACCCAGAGGACCTTAAAATCAAATGCGTATACATAATGTAGTCAGATTGAGCTTCTGATGTCCACAGAATAAACTCACAAAACTTCATGCTGGCAGGCAGTGGTGCATAAATTAACAATTTGGCCTTGATTCTAAAATGAGCAACAAATGTGTGCATAACTATGTTTTATGATAGAGACCCCCCAGTTGTGGCTAAGAGAAGACCAACAGCAGCTGGAAATGGCAGAGACTTGCTATGAAATAGTTTGGTTCATTTCAGGGTTTGACCCAGTGATGTATCACATGTCCGCCAAATGGGAGGTTATGTTTTTGGCCCGGTTAGTCTGGCAGCGAGATTACGATAAATCTTTTGGCTACATTTTCATGGAACTTAGTGGAAGCATGTCGCATAGACCAACAAAGAACTCATTACAATTTGGAGGGGATCCAAATGACAGGGCAGACACACAGATCACTTTTCACTTTCATTAACATTGCAAGGGCAAATAATGAAATAATCATAGCGGTAGTTTTGGACAGAGAAAATTCAAATGAACGCCCCTCAAGATATCAGCTATGGTCTGAATTTAACATGTAGCAGGGGAATTGTTAGGGCAGAATACAGTATTCTAACACATGAATGTCTTGTTACCAAGGTTATTGTATCTTACTCACTATACTGTTCACTCATTTTACACCCTTTTAGAGCTGTATTAAGTTACTGCTAATTCATAAAGGAACATCCTACTGCTACATTAAAATTGGTGAAACACTAGGTGGATTGTTGTGAAACAGTCACAGGAAACTCAATCTATTTTATTTTTTTTGTGGTTAGCGTATGTTCATCAAATGCACAAGACAGGCCCACTGTTATTTTCTACATTTCTTCATTAGCACCCTGAGAACGGCACTGTGTGCCGGTGAATGGAGGTTCAGAGGCTACAGGCTTCTACAGGTAAACAAGTTTATTGTGCGCTGCTGTGTGGAAAACTACTCGTGCTGCCTGCAGCATGAACTGATGGAAAAGCTGATTATTGACACACTGACTTCTTTATCAAAACAACATGAGTTTGCTATGGCTACTCTTTCCCAAATCATCAGTTGCTCTTCTGTGTATTTCTAGCAAACTAGCTGCTTTAGAATGTTTGCTCATTCCCAAAATGGTGGGACATATAAACCTCATGGGTTGTTGGCAATGTAGCTCAGTGTCTAACATCGTAAGGATAAGTAGCATTAGATGTAGAAATATTACAATACTGACAAGGTTGGTCGCCTTTGTTATTGTTTGTCATATTTGTGCTGGCTAAAAAACTGATGAATAGATATCTGATGAGACACTAATGTGTATGATGTAATACTGTTTTCAACATGTTTCTGATAACATACATTGATATCAGTCTTGTTTAAATCCCCCAATATATCAACCACAGGCAGACAGCACTAGAGAGGAGAGATACCGGAACGCGGACAAAGGCGTAATGATGGATTACAGTATTTTCCAGAGCAATTACACACTGCGTTATAGGTGAGGGAAGAACGTGTCACACACCAACAGAAGACACAAAGAGTGAAATGGACACGGCGGCCGAGTGGAGTGAGAGAGAATAAAGAAAAGTAAGATTAATGGAGTGATTGTTATTAGAGTTGGTTGAGTAGGTGGACAGAGAGGCGGCTATAAATAAGCCTGTGTGACAGCCACAGCCACTCAGGCAGGAAGCAGGCAGCACATCAAACAGGCCTTTGGTCCCTGATACACCCAAACTTTTTGTAAAGTTATGTCTAACACAATTCAAATGTCAGTGTTCAGTTTAATACTTAATGGAGAAAAAAGAGGTACTCGTTTTTGTAAATTGAAGTATTCAATACAGGTGAAGTCACAACACATAATACATTCATTCATTTTAACTTGTTTAACCCTGAGAATGAAAATTCAATTTTTAACTTTGTCACATTGATCAATCTTAAATCTTAAAGCTTGGGTAGAACAAATAAACAACCTAAGGCACAAAATGAAAACATAATCCAAAATCCATTATTATTCTCCAATAGCGAAACCTGTTATTTCATCCTTTTGACAGAAACATCATTTTCAACTTCAGATCTCTCAGGTGTGATCAATAGTTTGTTTGTTTTTTGTTGTGTGTATTCTACCAAACATCATTTCTCCCAAAGAGGCAAGTAGACTTAGCCACATAGTGACATCACTTTGTAACACCAGTGCTCCAACACAATGTATGTGATTTGCTTAGGGGCGGGAAATCTCTAGGCAGTTGGCCAATCACAATAGAGCCAGCCAGCTAACCAATCAGAGCAGACTGGGCTCTGGTTTCAGACAGAGGGTGAAAAGAGGTGCTGCAGCACAGGCAGTGTGAGGAAAATAAAGAGCTTTTTGAACATTAAAGCATATAGATATGTCACAGTAGAGGCACAAAATACAAATATGAACCTGAAAATGAGCAGAATATGTCCTCCTTAAGTTATTGAAAAAAAGGGGAAGAGCAGCACATGTTACAGAGACACAAAAGGAGTGTATAATTGGCATTCTCAACCTGCCGAGAGCTCATTCAATGGTGTATTGTGCTACATAGATAGACTTGTTTACATGTTATTACACATTTGGATTAACAACAAACTCATATATCATGAAATTAAACTTTTTGTCTTCATTTTTACCTGCAGCAGAGGACATAATATTATACCTACATGCTGACAGGTGTAGATTCACTACAGGTCAAGGGCGTACAACAAATACAAACACTTTAGATATCCTTAGACCAAGACATTGTTTGATAACATTCTTGGAACTGCTTGTATAAAACTCAAGTGAGTTGACCCAGAGCAAAGTCCTTGATTCGAGGTTGTTCTAGTAAAACTTTTAGGGACCTTACTTAAAATGCAGAGAAGGTTGCTGGTGGATTTACTGACATATGGGCAAAGTTTAAATTAGCAATACATTTATAAAGAAATTCTGACTTACGTGGGTTTTTTCATTGGTGATGAGCACTTTGACCTTGTTGAGGGCCTTCTTGGCGCCTGTGGGGGCAAGGGAGATGGCGGAGGCAGGCTTGGTGTGGGCGGGGCTTGCATGGGGGCTGGCGATGTAGACCTTTTTACCAGCGCTGCCCGGGGGTTTGGAGTGGGAGAAGTCTGTGATAAAGACTATTCCTTCACTGGTCAGCACTGCCAAAAGACAGAAAAAAACCGTATAAAAGCTGCATATGCTGTCACAACTGTCAGTAAAGAGAAATGGTAAAATATATTTATTTCAATTTAAAAGGAAGGCAGCAAAGTCTCTCTCATATGTGTCATCTTAATATAACTTAAATCTAATTCCACCTCCAATTACAAAAAAGTTAACAAAATAAAAAATGTAAACAGCGTATAAACAAAGGCTGAGTCACATTTTTTTTCGACACATTTGTTGATAACTTACATGCCATATTGGAGGGGTCAAAGGGGTCAAATGAGAAGGAGAGGATGTTCTCAGCGTAGCTCTTCTTCCACAGCTTGGTGCCCGTGTCTCCGTTCCACAGCACGATGTAGTTGGGAGGGTGGATGGCCAACAGTAGATCACGAGACGCATCCTGATTCCATAACCACTCCAAGTCTGGCAGAGAAAGAGCAAGAAACAGAGGGGAGAATAAAGAGTAAAGTAAGTGCCAGAACAGAAAGGGCAGAGAATGATGGTAAGAGCTTCTTAATGAAAACAAATAGTCAACAACAGTTCCAAGTTTCTCCTTGGCAGGGCCCCTGGGGTTGATATCCTTCCTCTACAGAACTGAGGGACAAGAAATCATTCCAAGCCTACATGAGAGGAAGAGGGGGGGTTTGTGGAAGGTATCTTACCCTGGATAGGTTTGGAGTGCTCCTGGATCTCACAATGGGCGGTGCCGCTGACCACATCCCACACTATGATCTTCCCCGAGGCATCTCCTGAGGCCAGCCGCAGACAGTAGGGAGAGCTCTGGTTGTGGTAGTAGTTCTCCCTGGACCATTTCACCTACGTACAAAACACCAGAGATAACATACAGTAAGTTAAAGTAGCAATACTGTGTAAAAATACACAGCTGCAAGGAAAGGTCCTGCATTCAAATTCCTACTCAAGAAAGTACAAAAGTATAAGGATGAACATTTATTTAAAGTAACAAGCGAAAAGGACTCATTATGCAGTATAGCCCATTTCAGAATCGTATATATTACATTATTGGATTATAGTTATTGATGCATTATTGTTTTCATAACTTCAACACTACATTTGGTAAGGGTTGGGTTTATTTGAAATACTTTGAATTCAGTTGGTTAGCTTTACATGTAATAATTAGGGCCGGGACTCGATTAAAAAAATTAATCTAATTAATTAGAGGCTTTGTAATTAATTAATCGAAATTAATCGCATTTTAATCGCATATAAATATTTGACCTGAGAACAGTGAGAAGCAATTTTTTTCACATGGATTTTAGTATACCATTAGGCGCATTCCCACCGCAGTACTTTTCCCACAAAGGTTCATGAGAACAAATGAAGCCGCTGACGTCACTTCTTCTTCTTCTGCTTTGGGTTTACTGGCAGGCCGCAAACCACTTCACGGCGTATACTGCCGCCCAAAGTCCCCGGCCGGAAGTCCCCGGAGTTGGGGACTGGCTTCAGTAGAAGCTGCTGGGAGTCCCAGCAGCTTCTACTGAAGCCTTCCGAGTAAATCGCCAGAACGCCGACACCTCCTCATCTCCACCGCTCCCATGTTTTATTTTGTGTTGCCATAAGTTAGTCTCTCTGCGTTTCTGCGCTGGGCTAATGCTAATAATGCTAATGCGAGGATAATAAAATGGCGGCTTCACCAAACTTTTTGGGAGTTTTACGGGGCGTGGTTTGCAATCCGCCCAGCCAATCAGAAATATAGCTCTTTTCTCACAAGAGAGCCGTACGAAAGTCCCTGCTCTCTAGCAGCTCTCTGCTCTCTAGCAGGGACTTTCGTGGGGGTAAAAAGGTTCTCATGAACTAATTTTAGTACCGGCTCTTTTTGGTGTGAACCATAGACTGTATGGTGTGAACGCGATAAAAGAGGCTAACGTCCACGCTAGCTTCCACGCTAGCTGCTATATGTTTTGCATTGAGGTGATACTTGAGGCTTGATGTGCTGCGGTGATATGCGAATTCCTTTTTGCATAATTTGCACACAACCGTGCTCTTATCGACGCTTCCATCCGTCCGTTTTTTAAAACAACATTTCCCACTGTTGTTCACTGTGGTTTGTTGTTGTCTGAAGTCATGAACGTTAGTTGGTGCTCCAGTATAATCGGTACGCCTGAAACTCATCCAGTGAGAAACGTTCCGCGGTGCAAAAATAAGTGCGATTAAAATGCGTTAATTTTTTTAACGCGTTAATTTTTGTGTAATTAATTAATCTTAATTAACGCGTTAAAGTCCCGGCCCTAGTAATAATATATCTTAAAACAGCAATCTCCCTTGGATTTTTTAATCCTTGAATGGCTTTTAATTTTGGTTAATTTTAATGGTATCATTGTTCATGTTTTGTTGTTTTTCTGTATCTTGCTCTGTTAAGCACTTTGCTGCCTGAAAGGTGAAAAAGTAACAAGTAACTAAAAAGTATTCAAGTAAAAAAGTATGTGCATCCAAATGATACTAGAGTTAAAGTATAAACAGCATAAAGTGAAGTACAAGGACTTAATATTTGATCTTAAGTACAGTTATTGAGTAAATAGACTTCCACCACTGCCCAATACAAAACATATGATTCATTTTTGCCAGTTGCTATGGCAGTGTTTCTCAAAGTGGGGGGCGCGCAGAGGCATGACAGGGGGGGCGCGTGAGACCAGTTACGACAAAAAAAAATGGTTATGACGTTGGCATGACCGGCGGAAGTTACCCTTAGAAACCTTAGAAACCTATGAGGGCGCTGTAGGACACAGGTGTGTAATGTACATGTTGAGGATGGAAGGTCAATAGGCGGCGTCGGGGGGCGCTAGGGGGTGCTGCAGGTCCCCCTAGGATAGCCATAGCACCCCCAAGAAATGTATGTCTTTTTTTTGTATGTCTGAAATTCATCATTTGAAAAATTATTGATTCGAAAACAATATGCTAAAGTACAGTACAAGTATGTCTGGGTCTCTGTGTTTCATTCAAGCTCTGCTCTGTGTGTGTGTGGAATGAGCCATTTTTGTGTGCGTGCACGGGAGAGAGAGAGCGCACCGGTACCAGAGATTGTTGTTGTTAGCATCTGGTGCTAGCTAGCTACGCTAACAGATATAAGGAGCTTTTTCAACAACAAGGTGGAGGGAGAACTCTTGCCTGTCAGACTGAGAGGCTCAGATAACCTCAGCTCAGTGAGGTAAAGGACTCTCAGTGTTTAAATTACCCACTGAGATTAGTTATCTCAGTGGGTCTCAAACGGTTTGGTCACGATTAAAGTAAACAATTATTTCCGAGGCACACGTTTATATGATCATTATAGGTATAAAAAAAAATAAGAGAATAAATGAAAAACAGTTGTGAAATACTATGACAGTAAAACAAGAATACAGTTTAAAAGGAGAGTGATTTGTAAAATATCCATAAAGAAAAAGTAAATCTGTTTACAGTTCTGTTTCATATGGGTGTTGAGAAATGTATCCATAGATCTCTTCATTTAGCTCTCAAAGTGCACCAGATTGATGCATTTAAGTTCAATATTTTAAAGAAAATCTTCCCGGGGGAGCATGCCCCCGGAACCCCCTAGAGGATGTTAGGTCCCCTCCCCACTTGTAAAAATAGTATTTTACCCCTGCTTACACCTATATGCCGTGAGCTGATTGTAACAGTCGCGGGTGTACTGTGTACAGTATGTGCGTGGGGGATGTTGCAGTACTCAGTGGAATTCCACAAGGGAGTGTCCTGGGTCCTGCACTGTTTGTCGTCTATATCAACGACCTACCCGATAATGTGAGCTCCATTTTCAGATGTTTGCAGATGATACTAAAGTCTTCAAGGTAATTAAGTGTAAAGAGGATGCAGAAAAACTTCAGTCAGATCTCAGAGAATTGCTGAGGTGGTCCGAGTGTTGGCAGCTCAAATTCAATGCAGCAAAGTGCAAAGTAATGCACTTAAGTTTTCAGAACCCAAAATATGAGTATAATATGGGTGATGATTCAAACACTATAAACCTATCCGAGACTCAGAATGAAAAGGACCTTGGTGTGAATGTTGATAATACCCTGACATTTAGTGACCATATCCGCCGGGAAAGTAACAAAGCGAATGGTATCCTAGCAATGATCCGCAGATCATATACACTTATTTGGACTCTGACGTAGTACGTAGTTTATATATCTCTCTTGTACGGCCACGCCTCGAGTATGGGAATGTCCCTTGGTCCCCCATGTACAAAAAGGATGCTGAGCTCATCGAGAAAATACAGAGAAGAGCAACGAAGCTGGTTCCAGAACTAAAGGACCTACCATATCAAGAACGACTGCAAAGTCTTAAGATCCTGAGTATGTATTATAGAAGGGCGAGGGGAGATATGATCGAAGTTTTCAAATATCTCCACAACATCTACAAAACATCATGCCCACTGGGGATTATAACACCAGGACTCGTGGGATTATAACACCAGGACTCGTGGACACTGCCTCAAGTTGAGGAAACAGTACTCAAGACTGGCTATCCGCCGCAACTTTTTCAGCCTGCTTGTGGTTGACTTGTGGAATGATCTGCCAGAAAGCGTTGTCACATCCAAGACGGTTAACTGTCTCAAGTCCCGCCTCGACCATTACTGGTCAAACATCACCTTCACTTTGGACTATGTGACTGTTGCCAGCATCCATAGTAAATAAAGAACAGTGATCTACTTATTTATGAGCGACTAAAAATCCTCAGGCCTATTACAGCCGTATCCTATTGATTGATTGAGTACAAAATGCCACTGTAGCGACCGGAACATTAATGGGAAACCCTAAATGTTTGAGCACCCGAAACATCAAGCTACCCCACAGCACCCCCAAAAGAAAATCTCTGGCGCTGCCACTGAGCCTGCAACCCCGTTTTGAAGAAATGTGCAGTGCAAACAGGCTCATTGCAGCCACTAATGCTGTGATCATGAGACACACTTTTTTGCCAAATATCAGCATTTTCTTTCTTTTTCTTTTTTTGCACAGATTACAAAGTATTATAACTTATTGTTCTAGCAAAGGGATTGCACAATTGTATTATATATTTTTTTGAGCACACAGACTTGTGGAACATTGTTTTATTATCACTGTTCTAGCAAAGTGATTTTTTTTTGTTTTTTTGAAAGGAATGCTCACGTTAATATTGATGTATTTTAATAAAAGTTAACTTGGCCTATTACGTGACTATTTGTGTTGGGGGGGCCCGACTTTTTTTTTTTCCAAAGGGGGGCCTGACAGAAAAAGTTTGAGAACCACTGCACTATGGAAATATTGCAAGACTTTTACATTTTACCATTACAAAAAGAAAATGATGACTTTGACTGAAAACAGAGGCAATATTGTCTGTACTGTAAGTCTATCCAGATCAGGTATTGTTCTGTATAAGTGCTTTTACATGTTAACTATGGTGCAAAGCAGGGTTAAGGGAAAGAAAAACGATGCAGTTCCAAAGAACTAACACCATAGAAATGTATGCTAAAAAGACAAATGACTTTGAACAAGTTTGTGTTTAAATAATTGATTATGTATGTGTATTTTTTCCTGAATAGGCATGCTCCGTGCTATGCCAACTCCTTCCTTTTTTCTCCCTTTTATTCTGCAAGCTTTCTTGTGTCGGCTGTGTGGTGAGGAATGGCTCGCTGCTGTGGCTGCAGTGCTTTACAAGATTAAAGTGTGCTTTGCTGTGAGGAATGAGAGTCTCGGATTGAGCCCAGGCACTGATAATCACCACACGATGTATTGCCCATTATTTACCCTTCTACAAAGCACACAAACATAAACCATACACACACATAAGCTGACACAAACACACATACATAGCCCTTCTGTGTATAT